GATTCCCTCACCACCCACCCACCCCCAAGATTCAAGCCACCACCTTCCAAATTCATGGCTATCTCTTGATACTTGGAGGTTAAGCAGCTCTTTCCAATGCTGAAGGGCTGAGAGAATAAAGAGGGTGTCCAGTTACTACTACTATGTGTTTTGCATCTCTCTGGATATATACTCACTAATCTGTAGATGGTGCCATGGTTTGAGCATTCTCTAAAAGTTTATGTGTTGAGATTTCAGTTAAGATTCTAGGAAGAAATTTAATACTTCCATGATGTTGAAAGATGGGGTTTTGGGAAGTGACTGAGTGATTAGGGTAAGCCCCTAATGATTGACTCCCGATAGGATTCTAAAGAGAGAAAGAGGCACACACTCTTCTTGTTTAACAACATGAAACCATGAATAGCTTTGAGACCCCAATAACAGGAAAATACTTACCAAGTGTCCACCAGATGTGACTCATGAACCTTGGACCTCCAAACTATAAGCTGAACAAAAGTTCTATTTTAATAAGTCACCTAGTTTCAGGTATTTTCTGTAATTAGCAACAGAGTGAACAAGAACAGATGTTATGGGTTTTTATATCATCATCTTTCAGAGTCTATGTTCTGTATCTTGACACCTGAAAGTTAGAGATCCCATATTTATTTGATTAGGCCTCTCATGAGGCAGAAACTGTCAGGTGCTTTCCTGTATACTACTCGGTCAGCATGTAACTCTCCAAGCAATCCCAGATGGTAGATGCATTCATTTCCTAAGACTGCTGTAACAAATGCCACAAAATTGTAATTTAAAAAAAAATAGGAATTCGGGGGCCTGCTCCATGGCACAGCGGTAACTTGCTACTCAAAAGAAGATGGATCCTGGGCCAGTAGGTGATGTGGTGGTAAAGACACTGGATTTCCATATGGGTGATCACAGTTCGAGTCCTGGACCAGGTGGTTTGAAATTCATGCCAGGCGTGCATGCCCATAATCCTGAGAAGGGAGTGAAGAAGGGATTGTGGTGTGGCCGTGCTCCTTTAGGGGTCATTTCTCACCTTCCCTCTCTGCCACTTTGTTTCTCTTTGGTGAGTGCATACACCCTATGGTAAAAACCTTTAAAAAAAATGAGGAATAAGAAGAAGCTGGATCCCACATGGTGACTGCAGTTTGAGTCCCTAACCCAGTCAGCTTGAAACACTTTGGGTGAGTGTGGTCAGGATCTGATGGCTAGAGGACTGGAGGAAGGGGATTGCAGACTGACCAGACCCTATGGAGGGTGCTCCTCTCTCTCATTCTAACATGTGTGTGCATGTACTCTATCATGAATAAGAGGGAAGAATAGAAATTTATTCTCTCATAATTCTGGATAACAGAAGTCTTAAATGAAAGTGTTGGCCAGGCCAGTTCCTTCTGAAAGCTCTGAGGAAGTGCATGTTCCCTGCCTCTCTCTACTGGATGATATTTCCTGGTTTATAGATGCATCACCTCAATCTGTCTTCGTCTTTCTCTTTATCTTCTCTTTCTTTGTCTTTGTCCAAATATCAAGGCTTATCCTATTCCAGTATGACTTAATTTAATTACATCTAACTTAACTACATTTGCAAAAAGCCTAGTTCCAAATGGGCACAGTCATAGATACTTGGAGTTAGGATTTTGGTATATCTCTTTGGGGGATACAGTTTAGCCCATAACAGTAGATCTTGTTCTAATCCTTGCACTATAGATTGTAAACTGAGACTCAGAGAGTGATTTACCCAGAGATACAGAAAGTAGGTGGTAAGTCTAGGCTTTTAATTTGTCTATACCTAATTATTACCATTTATTGGGTCCTTGCACCCAGCAGTAAGATCCTCTGTTGGGTGCTTCATTTTCATGCTAATTCTTTCAGTTGCATATAGTTTTTATTCCTTATTTTACAAACAGAGGTTCAGATAATAGTAGCTTGCCCACAGTTACACAGGGAAGCAGCAGATCTGAGAGCTGGTCTGAATCTTGGCTAATAATTCTTACTCAGGTCAACATAGCAGAATGTTTTGAAGAAGGCTTGACTTTCCTCACCCCATGTCCCCTGCCTCAAGATGGTATAACCCTGTATCTGCAATGAGAATCATCATTGCAAATGACGTGTTATTGGACTTTTCCATGTGAAGAGTTGGATAGGCAGAAAATTAATCATTGAGTATCACCATGATTTTCACGTTGATGTCTCACAGTGGGTGACAGCTTGATAGGAAAGATCAGCTATTCATCTTCCTTCCAGCAGCCAGGGAATAGCTGAACAGAAAAACCATTCAAAGAATCTATCCCACTACAAAGCCATATATACCACAACTAGTTACTTTCCTATAGGGTACTGCATGGGGGCCGAGGATCACTTCTCTGTTCTAACAGGCACCTTACATAAAAGAGCCTCTAGCACTATGGTAGGAAGAAGCAAGTCTCAAAGCCTTAGCGTGGTTATTTAAATTACTCCATTCTTCCTCAAAATAAAAAAATCAAAAGTATCACTTCCTGGCAACTGCTGTGCACTATTCCTTAATATCAAAGATGCAGAATGCTCACACCTCACACTTACTGTCCTAGGAACACAGCAACCCTGAGCCCAGAACCCTTCAAGTAATGCGTAAGCCACAGAAACTTCCTTAAATCAACATGGAAATGGATATGAGAAAATACTCTGCCAAATGCCCTAACATGGGTTTGATTAGCACTTAGAAGGTAAACTTGTTTTTGCCCATTTATCTCAAAAAGGTGTAACAGAAGTAGGCATGACGAATGTAGGCTTGGAAGGCAGAGAGACTCCATGCCAATTCCAGCTCTATTACACACTACCTGTGGGAACCAGGTGAGATATCTTTTCTAAGCTTCAGTTTCCTTACCTGTATAATGAAGAGACTGGCATTTACCACAGGAAGGTGTTAAAGGAACACAAACATACCATTCTGATCCTTAGTTCCTAATAGGGAATGTGAGCTCCGGGTAAAAATGAAACAGTGCTTAATAGCCAAAAAGCATATGAAAAAATATTCAATATCCTTTATCATAGGGAAATGTAAATCAAAACCACAATGAAGAATTACCTAACTCCAGGGAACCAGCAGCTAGCGTAATGAAGAATTACCTAACTCCAGTTAGAATGGCTATGATCGATAAAACAAAGAAGGTTGTAGAGAAAAGGGAACCGTCATGTACTGCTGGTGGGAACGTAAATGAACCCAGTCACAGTACAGTGGTTCCTTGAAAATCTAGAAAAATAGAACTGTTGGACGACCCAGTAATCCCACTCTTGGGCGTTTACCCAAAGAATAGGAAATCACTCGATCAGAGAGATATTTGCACATCCATGTTTATTGCAGCATTATTCACAGAAGCTAAGACGTGGAATCAAACTAAGTGCCAATCAGCTGATGAATGGATTGGGAAAATAAGGAATGGTGGACCACAGCAGTGTAAAAAATGTTGTTGACAATTCAATATATACTTCAAAAGAAAAAAAAAAGAATGGGACTATTATCAAGTGTGCATGACATAATAGAATGTTCAATGTTGAAGATGATTTGATTACCGCACCCTTGTTCACTCCTTGAAAACCTATATTGGACTCTATGAAAATGTACGTCGATCGTATGTAAACCAGAATTCATAATAAAAAAGAGGCATCTGATATACACACACAGACACACAAGGAATTCCTTTGTGTGTGTGTATGTGTGTGTGTGTGTGTGTGTATGGTGTCTATTTTATTTTAAAAAGATCTGTCGGGGTCAGCAGGTGGCATAGTGTTTAAGGTGCTTGATTCACACATGGCTGACTATGCTCCGAGTTACAGATCTGACAGTTTGAAAATCATGCTGGGCATGTGTACATGCATGCTCCAAATCCTTGGAAGACAGAGAGATGGAGGAGGAAAGACTAAAGTGTGACCATGCCCCATTATGTGTGTGTGGTGGGGGGTGCTTCCCCCCCTTTCCTCTTTATCTGTCTCTAAGGTGAGTGCACATACTCACCAACAAATAAATTTTTAAAAAAATCCTGCTAGTAAAAAAATTCATAAAGGTTATGTGATTCACCTAATTTTATTAATTTAAGTATATGATTTTAATGTTATTACTGGTATGCTGGTATCACATTGTTCATTAAGAACATTTCTAGTGTATTGAGGTCAGCAAATACTTCGTGTTCAGTTTTACATCTACAGGGCAAGCTCCTACTGCTCAGGGATGGGCAAGGTAGGTGGTGCAATGGTAATGCACTGCTGCAGCAATGCTGGGTCCACATGGAGAATTGTGGGTTTGGTTCCCTGGTTAACTTGTACAAGTTGGGTGCTACCAATGACTCTAGCTAGCTGGAAAAGGTGGAGCGGGATGAAGGTGGGAGGTATTGTGGCATAACTTGCCCAGAGTGATGGTCTGTCCCTCTCTCTACCCGAAGGAGCAAATGAACTTAAAAACAAAAATAAAATCAGGAATGAAATTCAAACCTCTACCTCCCTTGACCTAGCTGTTTGTGGAACAGATGACAAAGACACATTCACTTCCTACCATCTGAAAAAGTGCCATCTAGCGGTTACTGCTTCAAATTGCATATCAACTGGACCTCTGTACACTAAGCAACTCAAACTCATTGTGAAAAAAATGTATCTACAGAAATAATTTGTATCGTCTATGCAAACCCTGGAATAAATAAAATGTGAAAGACTGATATGATTACAAAATGACACTTAGGTAGAACCTGTTTCTTGAAGGGAAAAAAAAATGCCTGCGCAAACAGATTTTGGTTGCATTTTGTTCATTGAAAGTATCAATCAGTTTCACCAAGCAAGCTTTAAAGAAAAAGGTACTAAGGGACCAGCAGTTAGCGTAATGGCTATGTCGCTGGACTTCCATGTAGTCGACCGCAGTCCCCCTCCCGGACCCAGTGGCTTAAAAACTCATGCGGGGAGCGTGTGCGTGCGTGCCCAAGATCCCGAGAGGAGAATGGAGGAGCAGGGATTGCGGCGTGACCGTCCCCCCTGGAGGATGATTTCTCCCTTTCTGTCTCTCTGTCTCTCTCTGTCTGGCAAGCACACGCGCCCAATAGCGAGAAAACCTCTCAAAAAAAAAGAAAAGAAAAGAAAAAGGAAAAACTGCTAAGTAATTCATCTTGTCAGTTACAACTCATTTAAAAAAGGTTCCAACTTGAACTAAATACAACCATTAAAATACGATTTAAGAAGTATACATATATATATACATATATGTATATATCTTAAGAAAAACCTGAGTAGCAGCAAAATCACTGAACTTTTGTAAACAAAAGCACTAGTAATACCCCTTTGCTTAATAACAAAGAATCTGTCTTCTTTCAAAACACAAACTATATACAATAAACAGAATATTGTCCATCTTTTTTCTCAATGTACAATACCCGGAATCTGAAACCACGTTATCAGTAATACACGCAAATCAGTACTATTGTCAGGTATGTTGAACAATTTTTTCACAACACTCAGGGCATCATGTTGTCTCCGAGGGCAAACTTTCCAAAAGTTGTCTCCTAGCTGTGATCCTTGCACACCGGGGACACTTGGAGGACTGGAAGCACTGCTTGTGAAAACAAGCCCTGCACACTGCAAGCAAGAAAGACAGTCATTAGCAAATGGGTTATCTTATTTTCCCATACATGGTGAACACTGCTCGTTCCCATCTGGAAAGGAGAGGGTCTGAATCCAGAACCCAGGGTCTTCTAAAGGCAATCAGCTGGATTGAAGCTCACAGGGATTATAAATCCCCCAATAGGTTGTGAAAATGAAGCTTGGAGACCCTGAATTGCCTTCCCTCAGCTACTGACAGAAGGGGTGGCTGAGGGCTCTCAGAGGTGGCATCACTTCTCTGAAAATGGCCCTAAATGTCCTCCCCCGAGGTTATGCTCCCTTCCTGGTGCCAGTCTGCATCCAGTGACTGGCTGCTGTGCAGTCTAATGGTCCAGCTGGGAATCTCAGTTTGGGACAATGCTAATAGGCCCCTCCAGCTCCAGAGCTCCTAATGAGGGGCTAAGGGCCTCACTGCAATCACATCACGGCTCAGCTTCTCCCTTTGCTCAATCCTGCTTGCTTCACATTCCCATGGTAAGGAGCCTGAGACTAGTCCCAAAAAGTGATTCACACATAAATGCCTGGAAAAAGAGTCTCTGCTAGGGAACCTGTCCTAAATATAGCATGGTGGTTAAGGGCACTGGACTCCCACATGGCTGGCTGACTGTGGTTCAAGTCCAGGATCTGGCAGTTTGCTTTCTCACCCCACCCCCCAACTCTGTCCCTCTCTGGTCAAATTAAAATTAATTAATTAATTAATTCTTTTAAAAACAAAGGGAGACAACGAGACAATGGAATGGTCTAAGAGGAGGACATGCTCATATCAAGAGTAAAGGGAGAATTCATTACCAAGATCTTTCCCAAGAAACAGAGTTTAGACAGCATGAAATTAATTGTCTCTGGCACTAATATCATAGAACAAGGGTCAGCAACTTTTTCTGTAAAGAGCCAGATAGCAAATGTCTTAAGTCTTGTGGCCCACGTGGTCTCGAAAACAGCTCCTTGGCTTTCCCCTCGGCACAATAGCACCCAGAGAACACTTCAATGTAGGGCATGATTGCGATCCCCAAACAAAATATGGCAGCGTAGGTAAACACAGATCATCTTCTCCACCTAAACCCTGCACCGAGAGATTCACCCTTTACCCCTGCCCCACCCAAATACTGCTCCCTGTATGCCCATTTATCATCTTCAATCCACCATCTAAGCACACGCTAGCATCACTGTGCTTTAAAGAATTACCTTTGTGCTTCCGTCACTACGCTATTATTAAGCTTAAGTTAATTTTGTGCTTAGGTTATTAAACTTGAATTAACTTTGCACTTAAGTTGTTAAGCTATTATTAACCTTGTTATTAAGATATTAAGATACCTGAACATCTTCTACATGTTGTGGTCTGAAATGGGAAGATGACAGTCGTACTCTGACAAAATTCACAAATAAAGCCCTTTCCTTGACACAGCTGTAAAAGAAGGCATCAGAAAGTTACAATCTTCGTTGGTAATGCTGCTCTTGAAGGAGAAGCTGAGTAACCACTTTCACAGAGTTTTATAAGCATCCATTTTTAAATGTCTACGATTCTAGCTTCTACAAGGAAAAGGATATTGTATCCTTTGTAGGAATAAATCAGAACCCAAAAAAATGCACATTCGTCCATTTCACATTAGACAGTTTGAAGCACCAGAGAAAAAAATATGTAATTTTCAATATGTGATCTTAAATGATATAATTTTATTTCTGATTCTTGTGCTAGAATTCTTCAGTCCACCTAGTTACAGGGCTTCTTGTTCCATTGGATCCTGTCCACATACCCGTATTTGGCACGTCAAACAAAGTGAGCCCCAAGTGGGACTGGGCAGCCAGACAAAGACGTCACTTGGCCCAGGCTGCAAACCAGCTCTGCTGAGATTACCTTAGCCCATTACATCACAGTCTGAACCTCAGTGTTCTGATCTGTCAGTACTATACCCACACTTCTCTTGAGAGTTGGGAGAGTTAAATGAGGTCAAGTGCAGAACAACCAGCACAGACACTGGTGAACAAGGGGCAGTGCAGAATGCATCTGCCCCAGGCAAACCCTCACCTCGCAGCCTGCTACGTGTGCAAGGGAAGTTTTCAGAATGTCCTTGAGTGAGGATGCCAGCAGCCCTTTCTTGATCCTGACCAGGTCCTCCAGGGAGAACAGGTGGAGCTCATCAGTCAAGTGTCTTGGCACCTGCTCAAACTCCTTTAATGCACTGCCAGAAAAGGAAACAAAGAGAAATTCAAAAACCTACCCACACAGAGGCCAGGGAAGAATGGGGCCAGTTGTTTACTCTTGGCACTCGCAGTTACATTTTTGAACCCAATTTTTTTTTCAAGTATATCCCTGAGAACAAAAATGAACCTTGCTCACCACTCTATGTTTTGCAAGTTTGCTTGTGAGCCAGGAAGTTAAAATTCCAGAAAAGCTGATTTCAAAAAGCTGAATAAGCAGAGGAATGCCTCTCTTAACAGCCTGCTCTTACACAGCTTGAGCAAAAGAGAATTGTGCATTTGTTTTTCAAATCTTAAAAATGTGCACTGACTACTGTTAGATTAGCAAGAAATCAAAATTACTACCTTATCCAGTCCAGCTCAATTTCAAACCTGTCAGCATCACTGAGTGTTGTCTCAGCCCATAGGAGAATTACCAGCATGTAACTCCCACATCCATGAGACCAGGTCTGAGCTTAAGACTCATCCAGGAACCGGACAGTGGCACAGCAATAAAGTGCAATGCTTGCAAGGCTGACGCACACAGGAAGGTTGTGGGTTCACATTCAAAGACTTCCTTGAGTATGCTAAACCCACCTGTGCCAATGATCCAGAACTGGCTAGAGCTGGGGGAAGACTTAAGCATCAAGAATCCTGTTAGGGGTGCTCTCATCCCACCCTCTGTCCTGCTTCTTTTGCTTATGAAAAAACAACAAATAACTTGAAAAAAAAAATACTCATGTATCCAACTGGCAGAGGTCATGGTCACTTACATGTCCTAAGAACATTCAAAACTTAATCTCTCTGAACCCATCTGATCTCCTCCTGAATTCCCTGAATTATGGGGTTAGTGGCACTGCCATTCATTGGAGAACCATGCCAGCCACAGCCTATCCCAAACTTGGCCCTCTACTAAAGCCATCTTGGCTTAACTTTCCACCTAGACTGAGATGCTTGCTTGTACTATATCCTGTGCCTAGAGGATCCTGATCCTCCTTTTTGCTTTAACTTATTATTTTTTTGGAAAGGTTTTTGCTATAGGGAGCGTGCGCTCACCAGAAAGACAGAGACAGAAAGTGAGAAATCACCCCCCAGGGGAGATGACCACACCACAATCCATTCTCCTCCTTTCTCCTCTCAGGAGTTTGGGCACACACGCACACACGCCCGGCATGAGTTTTAAGCCACTGGGTCCGGGACGCGAACCACGGTCGACTACATGGGAGTCCAGTTACGCTAACTGCTTGGTCACTCAACTTATTCTTAAAAATTACATTTTTTTCCTCCAGGAGGCCTTGGGTGCTCTCTATCTTACCCCATCCCTAGTTGAGCTAATCCCCACTGTGCCTAGCCATGTGTCTAACATGTGGTCTGGCAACAATGTATGGTGACTTCTCCCCTGGAATTAACATGGATCTACTGATTTTTTTTTTTAATCTGAAGCACAGAATGGATATTCAAAAATTTTGCTGAGGGTAGAAAATACAGCCATCATTAACGTTATGGATGAGAACACTGAGGCTCTGTGACCAATGCCAGGGGGAGGAAGTTCAGGGTCCAGTGACTATAGAATACATGCTCCTCCTCAATAAATGTAATTCAGAAGTTATACATCTTCATTAAATAAATATCAGAAACCAAAAGAAGCTGTGAAAAAAAAACAAAATTGAAGAAAAAGCCCCTACGATTCTGTCTATCATACAAACCATCTGAACCCCCTTGAGTAACCTACTCTTTTTCCTATAGATGGAGAATTCATTTCAGCATCGTCCTATTACTCAACACATAGATTCTAAATATGTTTTCTTATTAAAATCTATACTTTAGCTGGATATTTGCCCATATTCATGGATATGTCTTTGGGATAAACTTCTAGAAGTAGAATTTCTGGAGGCCATGTCTCATCTGCTTTTACATGCCTCTTTATAAAGGGCTTTAAAAAGGCCCTTAGTGGGCCAGTGGGTGGTGTGATGGTTGGGGTACTGAACTGCCGCATGGCTAAATATGGTTGGAGTTCCAGACCTGGTGACTTGCTTTCTCCCTTTTCCTCTTTGCCTCTCTCTGGTGAATTAAAATAATAATGACAATAATAAAAATAGAATTTTTTAAAAAGGCCCTGGAGCCAGCAGGTGGCCTAGTGGCCAAGGTGCTGGACTCCCACATGGCCCACTGAAGTTTGAGTATCAGACCCAGTAGCTTGAAATTCACACCAGGCATGTGTGCGTAGGTTCCCAGAATCCCAAAAGGAGGATGGAGGGGAAGAGATTACAACATGGTCATCCCTCCTTGGGGGTGATTTCTCACTTTCTCTCTCTGTCTCTCTCAGTCTCTCTGATGAATGTCCATGCCCTATAGCAGAAATCTCTCTCTCTAAAAAAATAAAATAAAATAAAGTAAAAAGGCCCTTGGGATACCCATATTCTCAGCAGTATAATTCACAATAGCCAACAGGTGAAATCAGACCAAATATTCATTGACAAATACATGGATAAAGCAATATAGAATGTCCATGCAATGGAATATTATTTAGCCTTAAAAGGAAAGAAACTCTGATATGCTACCACATGGATAAGCCTGGAAGACAAGATGCTAAGTGAAACAAGTCACAAAAAGACTTTATGATTCCACTTGTATGAGAGATTTAGTGTAGTCAGATTCACAGAGACATAAAGTAGAATGGTGACTGCCAGAGCCTGGGAGGGAGTAATGGGTAGGTAGTGTTTAATGGTACATAATTTCAGTACTATTCTGGAGTTCTGGAGACAGATGTTGGTGATAGCTGTATAACTGTGTAAATGTACTTAATATCACTGAACTGTACATCTAAATGGTTAAGGTGGTAAATTTTACATTATATGTATTTTACCACAATTCACCATTATTACTGTTATTATGGAAAGGCCACTGACCACAGATATTTTATCCTTGCACTGGCTCATTTTTCTTAGGTTAAATTCTCCACCAGTGAATTAGAAAGTTTAGTAGTTTTATAGGCTGGCATCCCCAAACGGAGCCAGGGGGTCACTACTATGCTAAGAATCTGTGTATAAAGCCAGGAGGCAATTATTGTGCTAAGAATTTGTGTATGGGGCACTAAGAAAAGGAGGCATACAGGAGTCATAGGTATTTGGAGAGAAGGCACTCTGTCCCAGCCAAAGATAATACCTGTCAGCGAACCTGCAGGTCTTCAACAGCTTCTTGATATGAAAAAGCTGCTCCTGAATTTCCTAATGCAAGAAATCAAACAGGGCGCAAAGCCAAATGCAATTAATGACACTGGCACAGTACAGTCAAATTTGCATATTCTCTCTTTTCAATTTTTTAAATATATTTCATTTAAACTTTTTATACATTTCATCACTATACATAACTCAGTTTGTAAAGTGAATTTACATATTATTTCTAACCTTGAAATGCTGCACTTCTATAAAACAAGCCTTTAAAGAAGGCAGTCTCAATGGCAAGGATTCATAACTGCATCCACTGATCCATAAAGACTCTTGGATGGATCCAGGTTTTGTGAAACCTAAAGCTTACACAACTGTAATGGCCTGCTTTGAGAAAAACTCAAAGCTATATATTAATAAAATTTCTAGGGTGGCTTTGTAGCTTACTGGTGAAGGGAGCTAGATGCCACATGACTGGCCAGGGTTTGAATCTGCTGCTAGTAGCTTGGGAAACATGCGGTAAACCTGTACTGTATGAGCCCAAAATGGAGAAATGGAGGTAAAGGGATTTTGAGGTATTGTATTGCAGGGTGCTTTTTCCCCTCTCTGTCTCTTGCCCTCTGGCAATTGAAAATAGTTAATTAAAATGTGGGGTCTTAGATTGAGCCCATGCAGAGGATGGGCCCCAAAACAGGCATCATTACTTCACTGAAGGCCTGTCTATGGATGTTCTGAAACTAGTGTGATGTGCATTTCCTGCACAATATGCTTCTAGCCAGATGGATTTGTTTTCTCCATAGAGGCAGCCACTCACCTTCACTCTGTCTAGTTCCTTGGCTTTTGTGTACAGGCTTTGGCTGATGCTCAACAAATTGAAAATAGGATGGTGCCAAATGCTGTCAAGCAGCTGTTTGGAAAAGTTGCTGACATAGTACTTCTTGAAGTCCCACATCATCAGGATCCGGGCAGGGATGCAAGACTCCGCATATGAGTGGCAACAGTAGCAGAAATACTTCCCCAGGTATTCACAGTACCGGAGCCTCTTCACAAACTCTGCCAAGCACACAGGAGCATGAATGCTGTGCACCTGATGCTGAAAATCTACCCTGGTCCACCCTCCACCTTCAACTCCTATGCAAGGTTCAAAGACTCGGGCGAATATTTTAGTGATGGTACAGCCATGTCAAGTATAACTCACAGCAGCTGGGAAAGCTCAAGCAGGACTTGGTGCCTTAAATTGTGGTCACTCAAGAGTTTAGCTTTCATGGATTAGATGTGGGCAGATAGAACCCTTCCCAGTACTCTTATATTTGGAAAATGGACATTGCAAACTTCAGTGTAGTAAAAAGAACATTTAATTTGGGGTCTGGAAATGAGAATGGAAGTCCAGGATCTGCCTCTCACTGGCAGGATGACTGAGAGAGAGCAGGTCAGAATCTCTTTATGGTGACCATCCTGAAACCACAAAGAGCAACTCACAACTGGGTTAAGTGACATCACCCATAGGAAAGGTTCTCTGTGAATTTTACAGCAGTGTACATACAATATCAGAAAATAGTATCCAACAGTGTTCTTCAATACATCGGTGAGAAAAAAATACACGAAAATGTATAAAGGAAGACATGGGCAATACATGGAAAGGGAAAAAATGCAGATAATCAGCAGAGATGTGAAAAGCTCTCACTCTCATAACAATCAAAGAAATTCACATTAAAACTGAGATATTGTTTTGTTTCAGACTATCACAAATTTGGAAGATCCAGAACTGGAGAAGTTATAAAAAAAGAAAACAGGAATTGGAAAGATCTCTTCTCCAGAGAACATAATAATTTCTTATCAGCAATAGATAACACACTAGAGATCACAGAAATATCAAAAAGAATTCACAATATTTATTGTCACAAAACTCAATGAGATGCCAGAGAAAACAGACAACCAATTCCAGAAGATGAGAAAATCCTTTCATGATCTGAAAGATAAACTACATAAATAGATAGACACCTGAAAAAGAATCAGACAGGATTTCTGAAGATAAAGAATATGATGCAGGAAATCAAAACCTCCTCTGAACGTATCTACAACAGATTAGACCAGGCACAATAAAGATTCTCTGACCATGAAGACAAAGCCTCCAGTTTAGTTCAAGCAACTGAAAATAATAGAAGAAAAACCATTAAAAATGAGGACAACATATAGGACATTCTAGACACAATTAAATGGTCAAATATTTTCATAATATGTATTGTAGAAGGTGAAGAGACAGTTAAAGACATAGAAAAATCTCTTTTATGATATATTAACTGAAAACTTTCCAAATTTAGAGAGGCATACAGACATCCAAATCCAGGAAATACAAAGAACACCAAACAGATACAACATAAGAAGACCCTCTTCAAGGCACATAGCCAAATTGGTAAAAATAAAAGACAAAGACAATATTTTAAGAATTACAAGAGAGAAATGTCCAAGTTACATACAAAGATTTCCCCATTAGACTAACATCAGATCTCGCAAATGAAACAATGCAGGCAAGGAAAGAATGGAAAGACATATTTAAAATTCTTAATGAAAAACCATTTTTGGCCAAGAGTACTATAATGGGCAAGATTATCCTTCAAATGTGAAGGAGAAATAAAAATCATTGTCAGATAAACAAATGCTAAAAGAATTCACCAAATCTAAACCAGCTCTTCAGGAAATATTTTGGGGAATACTACACCAGGAAAAGGAGATAAATAGATGCAAGAGAATATAAAACAATTAGGGGAAAAAAAGCATAGTGAAAGGACAAAGATAAGTCCACACATATCAATAATAGCATTGAATGTCAGGATTCTACTTCCCAGTTAAAACTAAATATAAAAACTAAATATTTAGATTCAACTATTTTTCACACAACCAGGTCTAAGTGCAAATTCATTGATTATTTTGTAGACAGTTGTCTCGACAAGTTTCATTTTGCGCTTATGTATTATTATAAGCATTCATCATTGTATAAAACTAGGTAAAAGAGGAAAAGTCCAAAATATTACAAATAGCTGAGTCTTTCTTTGAAATAAAATTAAAGAAGACTAAAATCAATAACTTTGTAAAACCTATAAATTAACAAATCACCAATTTTTTAAATGTGGTTTACTGTGTCTTCTCTTTTAAGCATCTCCTTCCTTTTTTTTTTTCTTTTTTTTCTTTTGCCTTTTTGAAGACTTGTTTCTTTATGTACCATAAAATGCTAAGGTTTTACAAGAACTCACAGTGAGTGAGTAAAAGTTCTCTTTTTCTCTCTTCCTAGTGAGCTATTGTTATATACAGTTTTACTTATCTCTAACTGGACCAATGATTGATATCACAGATCTTTTCAGATTATAAACTCTATCTCCCACAATCCTCTACATGGAAATGACAAATCCTTCTTCTTCTTCTTCTTCTTCTTCTTCTTCTTCTTCTTCTTCTTCTTCTTCTTTTTTTTTTTTTTTTAAAGGTTTTTGCCATAGGATGCATGGATATACTCTGGTGAGTACCAGAGAGAAGCAGAGAGGGAAAGTGAGAAATCACCCTCCAAGGGGGCATGACCACAACACAATCCCTTCTCCTTCATTCTCTTGGGATTTTGGCCAGACATACACACACACCCAGCATGGCTTTCCATCCTCTAGTGCTGGGACTCAATACATGGTCGGTCATGTGGTAATCCAGCATCTTAACCACCATGCTACCTATTGACCCTTGCTGGCTATTTTAAGATTATCTTTATTTTCAAAAATTCATCTTTACTAATTTATGAGACATCTTGTTGTCTGATTTTTAACCACTTTGTTTTTCTTTAGAATTGTATTTCATTGACAATCATTATATACCTCCAAAATAATCAGTAGAGTGAATTTTATAATATAATATAATAATATTAAATATTGAAGGTAGTGAATATGTTTTATATCCTTGATTTGCTTATTACACACAATATACATACTTTTAATAGCATATGATACCCTACAAAGATTTATAATGATTATATATTAATCATAAATTTAAAAAAAGAATAAATAAATAAATAACCATATGGGCTAGTGGCTACCATACTGGATGATACAGCTCTAGAATAAAATGAATTAAAGAGGAATATTGACTAAATGCAATGTATGAAACTTGCTTGAAACCTGGATAGAGAAATTAGCCACAAATGATATCTTGAGGAAAACAAATGGATATGGGTTAGCAGTAGACAATATTAGAAAAATTCTTATTAATTTTCTTGATGTGTTAACTGTTTATCCTTCTTATTTTTAAGATGTGCTCAATAGTAAGGTAAAATAACATGTTTCTTGCTGCTTACTTTTCAAATGCTTCAGAATGAGTGAGACTGAGGAGTCTAAGGAAATATGACACCTAAACTCAATGTGGAATTCTGGATCAGATCCTGGTACAAACAAAGGATATAGTGAAAAAATTGCTGAAATCTGAATAAAGCCCGTGGTTTACATAATAAGATTACACCAATGCTAATTTCTCAGATTTAATAATTATACTATGATTATATAAGCTGTTAAAAACAGGAGAAGCTGAATGAAGAGTATATAGGATTTTTGCAACTCTTCTATAAGTCTAAAATTACCTCAAAACTAAAAATTAAAATTTTATATATATATCCTAAGAGCTCAAGGAAGTTTACAAGAATTATTTACATGGTTGATAATACAATCTGTACCCTGCCTACTTCAGAAGCCATGTTTTCTACTCTCCAGACACATAAAGCTTCTTGTCAGTTATGGTCCTCTGCACATGATAAACACCCCTACTTTTGTTCAGGAGACTATCACTTTCTTACAAAGCCATCTTTCCCTTGCTATAAATCCAATAGTGTTCTTGAGTTTCTCTCTGTCTCACTTTTTTATGAGCGTATTTATTTTTTATTCATGATAGAGAGCATGTGCAGGAAAAAGAAAGAGAGAGAGAGAGAAAGAGGAGGGGCACGCTTGACAGGAGCTTGTCATGCCATAATCTCCTTTGCCCATCCCTCAGCTTATCAGGATTTTGAGAACCTGTGTTCCCAGCATGTTTGCAGACTCATTTAGTGATGTGACCCTCAGGTTGGTCATGTGGCTTCCAGTAGTTCAGTTCAGTTTTGCTTGAGTTTCTATTTTGTTACATACATCCCCCTTGTTATTTAGTCAATTGGCTGAAGACTATGTCTTCATAAAGGCAAGACCATGTGAGTAAGATTTACCACTGTACCAACAGTACAGATATGAATCTCCACATTTGAATAAACTTAGGGAAGTACCTACAAGATTGATGGAATCATAGTCATGTGTCTAAGATTTCTGACTCATGGATTTGCTGAGGCATCAAGATCCATTGGTTAACCAAACAGACCTTGTCCCTGCTAGACTAAGGAGAACATGAGTCATTTAAAGAAAATGAGTTACAACCATGATTCCTACTGGGCATTGTCATCCAGTGTGGTAGGAGAAAGCCCAGATAGATGTCTGCTTTCCATTTTTATCTCTTGAAGTAGAGCTCCTCAAAATCATTCTCCTTCAAAGACTGACTATTGAAGGCCACAGAAATCCTTTCCACCAAAAATTCTCTTCTCAGCCTTTCAGTGGTGAGACCTACAGACATCTTCATGGCAGAACAGGTGACTCTCAGTCTCGAGTGGAAACTTGCATTTCTGATTGGGGGGAAGCCTGAAATTCAGTTGCCTAGGAACAATCCCCTCATGCCATCTGCTAAAATTCTCTAAGAAGAGTTTGGCGAAGTCATTGGTAAGTTATTCATTTACTCAATAAATATCTTCTGATGGCACAGCCTAGGTGGTTCAGTCCTGAAGCATACTGGACCACAGCACTGGAAGTCGCATGGTTGTCAGTAGGTTTGGAAGATTCTGCAGAACTGGTGGGCCAGAGAGAAGGTGTCACTGCATGACAGGATGATCCTCACTTCACTGCACACATGTACATTGACACACTTTCTATGATGAATAATTTTTTAATTAAATATTTTTTGAAGGTCAACTATGTGACAGGCACTCTTCTAGGAGCCAGGACTAATGAAATGAAAAAACAGACCATGTACCTTCCTTGAAATAATTTATAATTTAGTGAGAGCGATTCAGACAGAAAAAAAATCAGTAAAATACAAAATAACAGTTTAGGAAGAAAATATTAAGAATAAAAAAATAATTAAAAAGTTATATATAAGAGCTTAATGTTTACAAGGAGACTTCAAAAGTTAGTTAAAAAATGAAAGTAAAGTGTATTATATTATGGTGCAAAAATGTTAAAAAATCTATACACTTTTTTTATAATATGCATTTCCATGAACTTTTTGAAGACCCTTCCCCGTGTGTTTGTGTCTAGAAAGATGGCAAGTTACCCATTTTAAATAGGGCAATAGCGCACCCAGAGAAGACCAGACAATTTTCTTTCTCTTCATTCATGATAGAGTGCAGGTGTGCATGAAAGAGAGAAAGAGACAGAGAGGAGTACTCTAGTCAGGTATGATACCCCTTCTTAGCCTTTCAAATTTTGGGCTCTTGCATTTATTCTGAATATGTTTCAGACTGACTAGACTGGAGATTTGAACTGAGGTCACCATGTGGGAGCCGGCTTCTCTTGGGCAGTACATCATTGCTTTGCCACAAAGATTTTTGTGAAAATGTGAAGGAATTAAGATATGGGGATGTTACACTGCACACATGTACATTGACACAGATTCTATGATGAATAATTTTTTAATTAAATATTTTTTGAAGGTCAACTATGTGACAGGCACTCTTCTAGGAGCCAGGACTAATGAAATGAAAAAACAGACCATGTACCTTCCTTGAAATAATTTATAATTTAGTGAGAGCGATTCAGACAGAAAAAAAATCAGTAAAATACAAAATAACAGTTTAGGAAGAAAATATTAAGAATAAAAAAATAATTAAAAAGTTATATATAAGAGCTTAATGTTTACAAGGAGACTTCAAAAGTTAGTTAAAAAATGAAAGTAAAGTGTATTATATTATGGTGCAAAAATGTTAAAAAATCTATACACTTTTTTTATAATATGCATTTCCATGAACTTTTTGAAGACCCTTCCCCGTGTGTTTGTGTCTAGAAAGATGGCAAGTTACCCATTTTAAATAGGGCAATAGCGCACCCAGAGAAGACCAGACAATTTTCTTTCTCTTCATTCATGATAGAGTGCAGGTGTGCATGAAAGAGAGAAAGAGACAGAGAGGAGTACTCTAGTCAGGTATGATACCCCTTCTTAGCCTTTCAAATTTTGGGCTCTTGCATTTATTCTGAATATGTTTCAGACAGACTAGACTGGAGATTTGAACTGAGGTCACCATGTGGGAGCCGGCTTCTCTTGGGCAGTACATCATTGCTTTGCCACAAAGATTTTTGTGAAAATGTGAAGGAATTAAGATATGGGGATGTTAGCAGAGAGGATAATCTAGAAATAAAAAACCACAAATGCAGATCCTTGAGCCAAAAGTGTACCTGGAAACTTTCAGGACATGAGGGGAGGCCATGTGACTGGAGTTGAGTCCTCAGTGGGGAAGGAATTAGGAGGCTTGTCCCCCTAACTTTCTGGGTGGGACTAGCCTTGTAGGTCATGAGAGGGTTGCTTCCATGAAGATTTTTCTTTCTTCTTTTTTTTTCTCTCTCTCTCTTTTATTTTTTTTCTATAGGGCATGTAAGCTTATTGGAGAGAGAGAGAGAGACAGAGAGAAAAGGAAAGTGAGAAAGCATTCCCTCCCCCACCCAGGTGAAACAGCCATGTCACAATCCCTTCTCTTTTGTCTTCTTGGGGTTTGGGGCATGCACTGACATGCACATGGTGTGTTTTCAAAACTCTGGGTCCAGAAATTGAATCATGCACTCAGCCATGTGGAATCCAGTTGCGTTAACCACCATGTCACTGGCTAACCACCATGAAGCTTTTATAACAACTTCTCTTCAAGGAGGTCTCTCATGAAAGTAATGCAATGCCCAACTTTGTCATTCTTTGCCTGGCAATCTTACAATAAGCAGCCAATTCATTACCCATACTTACTAGGCTCTATTGGAGTTCCACAGCCAGCGCAGAAGAAATTCTGAGCTGCTACCACCAGGTCCCTCCTGAATATAGAAAAGAGTAACAGTTATATTTCAGAGAAGGCCAATGGAACTTTTCTCACTGATTGGAATAGAAATTGACATAATGATACTTTTCTTAGCTTGGGTCCTAATTTTGTCATCTTCATTTGGTAAAGAAATAGATTTATTCAATACAGTTTTTTTTTTTTTTAGTAGAAATCTCTGGGTCTTTTTAAGCTAGCAGCTTTTAAAAGATTTTGCAATATACAGTGTATTCTACATGGGAAAAATCATTTTGTATGCTGTAATGATATACCTTAAATGAACATAAAAAATAAGTTAATTGTAAAAAATAATTTTAAAAGATTAAAAAAAAAAAGGATTCTGCTATCCCTAAGCAGAAGTATCACACAAAACTTCTTGAAATGGTCTCAGCAATGTATCACTATTCATGCCCAGGATTCTATCTCCAAAAAGAATTAGAGCCACATACATGGAAAATAGTTTAGGGATACTAGACACTCAAAGTTGATGCATGTGGAAAGTTTGTAAATATACCCAAAGAAATTCAGATAAATAAGATAACGAAAAACAAAGCTATCAAATATTTCTGGTAAGATATATACCAATTGAATAATTTCTATTAAACTGTTGTGCCATGATTTCACATGTGATTTTAAACCACCATGGTGAAGGGTTACATTGCTGGACACTCATTTAATCAACTGTCCAAGTCCTGGACCCAGTGGCTTAAAACTCATGCTGGGCATATGTGCCTTTGTGCCCAAAATCCTGAGAGGAGAATGGAGAAGAAGGGATTGCGACAAGGCCATCCCTTCAGGGAGTTATTTCTTGCTTCATGACTCTCTGTCTCTCTCCATCTCTCCAGCTAGCACACATACCCTGGAGCAAAAGTCTCTCTTAAACAGAACAAAACAGAAAAATCCCCAAGGGAAAGAATAACTCCGTACTATCCACTATGGTTTGAGTCCTGGACACAGTGGCTTGGTTTGTCACTCTCCATTTCTCTTTCTATGACTGTATTTGGCAAAACTCATGTGAAAATAATAATAATAAATAAAATACATACTTCTTTTTAAAAAGTTAACCAAGGAAGTCAAAGACCTCTACAAGGAAAACTATGAAAATCTTTAAAAAGAAATTGAAAATGATACCAAAAACTGGAAGGACATCCCATGTTCCTGGATTGGGAGAATCAATATAATAAAAATGACAATCCTACACAAATTAATCTATATATTTAACGCAATCCCTATAAAATTACAAGAGACATTCTTCACACATCTAGAAAAGATAATCATAGAATTCATCTGAAACCATAAAAGACTCCATATTGCCAAAGCTATCCTACACAAAAAGTGGATAGGGTATCAAAACAGCATGATATTGGGAACCAGCAGTTAGCGTAATGGCTATGTCGCTGGACTCCCACGTAGTCGACCGCGGTTCGCGTCTCGGACCCGGTGGCTTAAATCTCACGCCGGGCGCGTGTGCGTGCGTGCCCAAGATCCCGAGAGGAGAATGGAGGAGAAGGGATTGCGGCGTGACTATCCCCCCTGGGGGGTGATTTCTCGCTTTCTGTCTCTATGTCTCTCTCTGTCTGTCTGGCGAGCGCACGCGCCCTATAGCGAAAACCTCTCCAAAAAAAAAAAAAAAAAAACCAGCATGATATTGGCACCAAAACAGACATGAGGACCAGGGGAACAGAGTAGACACCCCAGAAATAAACCCCCAAACATACAGCCAACTGATCTTTGACAAAGGATACCAATCAATCCAGTGGGAAAAAGAAAACATCTTTAGCAAACGTGTTGGAAAAACTGGGTATCCACCTGCAGAAAGATGAATCTTAACCCCTATCTGTCACTATTAACAAAAATCGACCCTAAGTGGATCAGAGATCTAAACCTAAGATCTCAAACTATAAAACTACTGATGGAAAACACAGCAAAAACTCTGGGAGACATTGGGGTAAGCAAAGTCTTCTTAAGCAAGATTACCAAGCACAAACAATAATCCCCAAAATTGGTAGGTGAGATTACATCAGAGTAAGAAGTTTCTGCACAGTAAAGAAAACAGTAATTAGTGTAAATTGACAACCCTTGGAATGGGAGAAAATTTTTGTTAACTATGCCTCAGATAAGGGACTGATAAGGAGAATACACAGGGCACTCAAGCAACTTACCTGTAAGAAAGTGATTAGCCCAATTAAAAGATGGGAAAATGAGATGAATAAACAACTCTCTAATGAAGACAAATGAACAGCCAAAAACCATATGAAAAAAATGCTTAACATCCCTCATCATAAGGGAAATGCCGATCAAAACCACAATGAGATACCACTTAACCCCAGTCAGAATGGCAAAGATTAAAAAATAATAATAAAAGTGCTGGTGGGGATGTAGTGAAAAGTGAACTCTCCTACATTGTTGGTGGGAATGTAAAGTGGCCCAACCATTGTGTAGCACAATATGGAGGTTCCTCAAAGACCTTCCAAGACCATATGTTCCAGCAATTCCATTCCTGGGTATCTACTCAAAGGACAGTAGAATGCTCAGTCAGAAAAATGCTTGCACATCTATATTTATTGTGGCATTATTCATGATTACTAAGACATGGAACAAACCCAAAGAAGAGATAAATGGATTAAAAAGTGTGGCACATATACTCCATGGAATACTATTCAGCCATGAAAAACAAGAACCTGGCATTTGATAGAAAGTGAATGAATATGGAAGATTTATTGCTGAGTAAAACATTAAATCTGAGTCATCATATGTCTCCACTTAACATCTACCGACTGTCCACACTCTGTGGTAGTGATTGAAAGACTGGAGGACATGAAAGCATTGAAAATTGTATGGACACTAGGGACAAGGAGAGTGGGAGAGGGGAAGAGTGTAGGAAAGAAAAATCTGGGGAAAAAAATAGAGAGGTAAGACATTTTTGGGGATACAGATACAGCTTATTACCTGATGATGATAACATGTATAGTATTCTCAACTGGGCTGGTCTGAGATGTATATCATGCTGAGTACTCTCTTTACAATCTAAATGATGTATAGGAGTTGAATGTATAAATAAAAATAATATGTTTTTAAAAAGAGAGAAGACAGTTGTAATACAGGAAATAAAAACCTCCCTTGAAAGTATCAGAAGTAGATTAGATCAAACCTCAGATGTAAAAGACAAAATTTCTGACCTAGAAAAATTTACCAACATGACTGAGAAAATAACCAAAAAAAAAAAAGAGAGAATAATATATGAGAAATACTAGATACTATTAAATCCCTAATCATCAGGATAATCAGTATCCCAGAGGGTGAAGAAACTAATTAAGGGTATTGATAACCTATTTCATGAAATCCTAGAAGAAAACTTTCCAAACGTAGAGAGGCATTTGAATATCCAGACTCAGGAAATACAAAGGACCCCACATAGAATCAACCCAAGAAGATCATCTCTAAGGTACATCATAATCAGATTGGCCAAAACCACAGACAGAGACAAGATACTAAAATTGGCAAGAGATAAACATCAAGTTACTTTCAAAGGATATCCCATCTGACTAACGTCAGAGCTCTCGCTGGAAACAATGCAAGTAAGAAAAGAACAAAAATATATTCAGAGTGTTAAGTGACAATTTCAACCAAGAATACTATACTTGGCAAAATTATCCTTCATATGGGAAGAAAAGATAAAAAACATTCTCAGATAAACAAAACCTTAAAGAATTTACTGACACCAGACCAGCCCTCTAAGAATTTCTGAAGGGAGTTCTACAAAAGGAAAACTAAAGACAGACTCACAGAAATAAGAGTGCAAAAAACAACCAAGAAAATGGCTAACTTAATGGTAGGGACAAGTCCAGAAAGATCGATAATAACATTAAGTGTTAACTTCCAGAATTTAAACAGAAAGATCAGACTACAGTAACACTACAAATTCAACAAAGGAGAGGTTAATTACATGAGACAGAACTAATGAAATAGAATTTTATGACTTTTGACTAAAACATTACTGAGTTTCTTCTATGCCTTGTTTTCCAGATTTAAGAATTTTTTTTTCTTCTTTTGAGCTGTTGATAGGTTCAGCAATTTGTTAATTTTTTTTTGGAAATTGAAACAAACTTTTCTCCCTTCCTGACCCCTCTGGAATTGGAGAATATTTGGGAGTATTTTTATTTTGTGACAGAATGATTATTTGGATAAGTTCAATATCTGTTGCTTTTCACCAGAAATTAGAAATACTGGTTAAATCAATTAGTATTCTTATGGGACTTTGTCAAAATAACAGACCAAATTGAGACTAAATTAATTAATTTACTTACAAATAAGTCAGTTTATGCCTCTCTTTAGTAAAGAGGGGAACAGAGAGAGAAAAAATGCTTCAGAAGAAAATTACAGTGCATTTACTACTAGATTTTAGTATTGCCCATATCTGTTTCTTGAGTTTTTTGTATCTACCTACTGTTTGAACAGAATTTTAACCTGTTTCCTGGCTTTAAGTCTTAAGCAAATTTTTCTTAACATTTTTTATTTTGATTTATTAAAGCTAAAACTGTTTTTCTTTATATTGGAAATATATTAAAATATAAAATATCTATTTAATGACTGCAGTTGGCTATATAGCCACAGCAAGGTGCTACTTCATAGTATTTTCATTCTACTCACTGAGTTTTATGCCTAAAGTCAGACATGTGCTCACAGATTTATATTCATCAGCTGCATCTGTTATTGAAAGTACTCTGATTAATTAAGATCTTTTGTAAATCAATAAAATGTGAAAAATAAATAACAAACAAACAAACAAACAAACAAAGAAACAGAGAAAGCCTATACAAGTTTGTCATATTTCTGGGTCAGTAAAAATGACCAAGGTAAAAATATGCTAAATCTCTGCCCATAGGCCATATTAAGGTCCATGGAAAATCCTGGAGAAAACATACCCCATAGTAAGAGAAGTAGCCTTTCATAATGTCTTCAAAGAGAGATCTTCTGCCCAGAGAATCCCAGAGACCATCTTATTCTCTTCAAAGAAAAGACAGGGCCAGCCCCTGGTCTGGCATTTTTCTGAACTGTATCTCACATAGTTGACTGTACAACTTGAATGACAGACCCAGAGGCTTGAAAAACACACGATGTGCACGTATGTGCATGCCCAACATCTCAGAAGGAGGAAGAAATGAAGCATAACGGCTTGTAGCATCAACATTCCTTGTGTGGGGTACTTTCTCTCTCTGTCTCTCTCTTGCAAGAGCACATACCCTCTGGCATTATTATTATTTTTCTTTTTGGAGAGGTTTTTGCTATAGAGCGTGTGCACTCACCAGAAAGACAGAGACAGAGAGGCAGAAAGTGAGAAATCACCCCCCAGGGGTTATGGCCACGCCACAATCTCTTCTCTTCCATTCTCCTCTTGGGATCTTGGGCACACACACACATGTGCCCAGCGTAAGTTTAAGCCACCGGATCCAGGACTCGAACTGCAGTAGACTACATCTGCAGTTAAAACGGCACCAGCTACAGTCTTTTCAGCAATGACTGTATCTACAACATTTTGGTAATATAGCATGGTATTTAACGTGCTTTATTACATAACATGAAAGACTGCCTGTAACATACAAAAAATTATTCATAATGAGAACTTTAATAAGATGATGACCATAATAATTTTTTTCTTTTCTTTTTTCTTTTTGGAGAGGTTTTTGCTGCAGTGTGTGTGCGCTTGCCAGAAAGACAGAGGGAGACAGAAAGAGAGAAATAGCAGCCCTCCCCAGGAGGAGTGGCCACAATTCCTTTTCCATTCTCCTCTCAGGATCTTGGGCATGTACACACACACGCCCAGCGTAAGTTTAAGCCACCGGATCCAGGACTCGAACTGCAGTAGACTACATGGGAGTCCAGTGACATAGCCATTACACTAACTGCTGGTCCCTGGCATTTTTTTTTTTTAAAGAAAGAAAGAAAAAGACAGACAAAGATACAGTCTATAAGATGACTTCATGGGGACAGTCAACAACTCTTCAGCCCATTTCATCACTCTGCCACTTACATGTGTAATGTAATGAAAATCTGGGGGAATGGAAAAATTGTGCTTGGTCAAAAACTATCTGTAATGCTGGATTTCCACCACCGAAACCCTCTGCCCAGACTTCAACCTCCTGCTCCCCAGTCAAGCCAGGAGTCAGGTTAGAGTACCCTACTTATTCTCTGTTTCTTCCATCTCTCTCTCTCTCTCTATATATATATATTTTTTAATTTTTAAACTTAGCCTTCTGCTGCTCTTTAGACTTTCTAATTCTTACCTTTTTTACTGCCCCCATAGGATAAGCCTATTAGCAGCTAACTATAGTTGTGTTCTGAATGGCCCCATAGCGTGCCACATGGTTTTCATTTTTTGATGAAAAAAAATGCTTTTCTTCTCTTTTTCTTACTATTTTTGTCTTTTTTTTCTCTTTTTTTTTTTTTTTTCTATTCCTTTTTCCTTTTCTTTTTACCTTTCTCACTTTTCTGCTCAGCCTCCATATGCTGCTTTTCTAGACAGGTCTTGGTGCTCAGTAGCCAAATATGTGAATAATTTCAGGGTCAGATTAATCTTCAATTTTCATTAAATCAGTTGTACAACGGGAGAAAAATAATATTTAAAGACTGCAGATCACCTCCTTCTGCATTCCTCTGATTGCTCAGATTTAACACCAAAAAATAAGAAGAAACATATATCAGATGACCAGAAAACACCAAAGAGGCACAAGAAATATGAGAAACAAAGTATCTCTCCTGTAATGGAAAAGAATAACTCTTCTTCCTGCACAAAGAATACAAGGAAACTCATGGAAATGCCAGATAAAGAATTTTAAATATTCATAGTGACAAAGCTAACAGAGATGCAAGAGAACAGAGACAATGAACTCCAGAAGATGCAGGAGAAAAGAGACACCGAGTTCCAGGAGGTAAGGAAATTCTTGTACAATCTGAAAGAGGAGATACACATCATAAAAAAGAATCAAATGGAATTATTAGAGATGAAGGTTGTAATACAGGAAATCAAAACTTCCTTTGAGAATATCAAAAGCAGATTAGATCATGCAGAAGAAGATCAAGTCACAGATATAGAATATAGAACCTCTGATCTAGAAAAATTCACCAAAAAAAGAGAAAATAATTGAAAAAAATGTGAATAACATGCAAGTAATACTAGATACCATTAAACGTCTAACATTCAGATCACTGGTTATTCCAGAAGGTGAAAAAACTAATAAGGGTATTAATAATCTATTCTATGAAATCCTGGAAGAAAAGCTTTCCAAACCTAGAGAAGCACTCAAATATTCAGACCAAGAAATACAAAGGACCCCACGTAGAATTGACCAAGGAATATCTTCCCTGAGGCACATTATACCCAGATTGACCAAAACCACAGACAGAGACAAGATACTAAAATTGGCAAAAGAGAAACATCAAGTTACTTTCAAAGAATATCCCATAAGGCTAACATCGAACCTCTCGCTGGAAACAATGCGAGTAAGGAAAGAACAAAAATATATTCAGTGTTAAGTGAAAAACAATTTCAACCAAGAATACTATACCTGGCAAGATTATCCTTTATATGAAAAAAAAAAAAAAAAGACACAAACATTCTCAGATAAACAAAACCTGAAAGGATTTTCCGATACCAGACCAGCTCTCCAAAAACTGCGGATGGGAGTGCTATAGCAGGAAAACTAAGTAGGACACACAGAAATAAGATACAAGAAACAACCAAGAGAACGGCCAGACCAATGCTAGAGACAAGTCCAGAGTTGAATGTTAACTTCCAGAGTTTAAGTGGAAGATCAGACCACAGTAATTCACCCCAAGCCTCAGTTAGCTGAGATCTGGTATGCACATGCCCAGCACACTCAGGTTCTCTGAACATAAACCTGGAACCTTCCCATGTGGGTCAGCCCCTCAGGCTGTTGTGTTTTACTACTACACCACCATTTGGTCTCTAAACTACCATTTTAATAATATATGCTATTAAGATTTATTTCCTTTTTGTTTATTGTTTTGTTTTGGTTTGGTTTTTTGCATCATCATGGTTGTTTTGTCTTCTAGGACTTTTGTTTCTTCTTGGAGAATATATATTTTTATTTACATTCTGTCACATTTCTCAACTATAGGAGCTCTCCTAAAGATTAAATTTTCATTCATTTAAAAAATAAACTCATTCATTTATTTCACACTGACTACACTAGAAAATAAAGTAGTCTAGTCTTTTTAAAATTATTGTATATGATTGTTAAGTATTGATATTAATCACTTGAAAAAGCCTCTTTAAGTCAATTTAAGTTTTAGTTGCTATGAAGTATTCAAAATTAGGGATGCATTAATTCTCAACTTGGGGCCAGGTGGAGGTACAGTGGTCTCACAGCTGAGCCTACATGTGCGAGCCTTTTTAGGCATCCTGGGCCTTCTCTGAGCACGCTGGGTGTCATGAGTATGCTCAGGTCTGGACTGGCTGAGACTAGGGGTCTCCTGAAGTGTGAAGACACTGTTGGAGGTGGCTGTCTCTGTCTCTGTTTCTCATGGAAGAAATAAATGAATAAACTTTTATTCTCACCTTGTCAAAACTCACACAGCCCCCTAAAACCCATGATAAGCAAGCTGCCAACAAAGCTAACCCAGAAAAAATATGCCCAACTTTATATTTCCTCAAAGAAATTTTCTTGTGTCTTTGAGCACATGGTGTTTTTCCTTCACCTCCTTCACAGAGTAAGGTGGGATCTACCATGACTTCCACTAAATGGGCTGGAGGGCCAAGTGAAGCTCATACTTACTTGAGTGGTGGATGAACATTAAATATGATTTGAAATCTAGGAGGAGCCCAATCTTCAGTCCCCCGGATCCTAGACTTAAACTTAATTTCCTGTACTACATGCATACTGGATTCAAAGTCTTTTTGCACACGTTCTTCATTAACCACCTGCAAGATATTGAAGATTTAGGCATAATTTAAATGAGCATATTTTAATAATTATTGGGTTGTCAGGAAAGTCATGATGCATTTTTGCATAGAAAAATACATCATGACTTTCATAGTGACCTAATTTAAAAAAATAAAATGGGCTTCCCACATTTAAATTCACCGAGAAAAATTAGAACTGCTTTTAACTGAATGAAAGGACATGACAAGGACTTTCCAAATCTCTAAAGGTATCTGCAGAACTGCTTCAAAAAACATCCAGCTAAAATCGCTTTTCTTGGTAATTTTGTTTCCAGACTTCAAACTTAATTGTAAATAGGTCATTTTGACCTGAAGTCTCACTCTTGTTAGGCAACAGACTGACAGATGCTGCCAATCTGAATTCCTGTTGTCAGTCTTCCCAGAAACATCTCCATTAAGACAGTTTTCTTGCTTATGAATGTCTGGCGGCTCCCTTTGAGCCACTGAACTTTCCTACCGTCATGTGAAATATAATCTCCTCTATGGGGGAAACTGAAAGATCGGGGGATATAGAAGCATGGAAGATAGTTACAGATACTGGATACAGTGTGGGAAGAGGCTGGGAGAAGGGGGGGAGTGTGAGGAAAGATATTAAGGAGAAAAATAGACAGGCAAGATATTTATGGAACACAGAAAAGGATTATTATCTGTTGATGATAATGTGTATAGTATCCTCAACTGGACTGGTGTGAAGTGTATTCATGTTGGGAGAATTCACTTTATAAGCTAAGTGATGTACAGTGATTGAATATGTTAAAAATTTTAAAATGAAATAAAATATTTAAAAATAAAATATAATCTCCTCAAATTAACATTCTACTTCTTCCGCAGTTTGGCCTCTATCAGTCAAGGTTTATTTCCCGTGAAGATTAACTCCAAACTGAGATACGCATGAACAGGTACCACCCAATCACACTGACCTACTCTGCTGAGAGTGTACCATGCAACCCCACTTTTGTTCCAGCTGCCCTTTGCTAAGAATGTACCACCTCATGTTTTTTCCCTGCCACTGTGCTGCCTGGCCTAATACAAGGACACTTCAATGAGTTCATGGAAAATGAAATTAAAGTATGTGTTTATTATAGTGCAAACATTTTTTAAATCCATGTAGTTTTTTTCATAACTTACATTTTCCATGGACTTTTGAAGATCCTTCATCCTTAGCCGAAGTTTCCAAGCAGTCTTCCAAGTCCTCTAATAAAATCAAACACTCCTTCCCCTGTACATCCAGAATGGTTTATTTATACCCCTATTTTAGCTTTGGTCACAATGTCCTCTACCCAGTGGAGCTATTTGTGCTCAGAAGCCAGTGTGCTCTACAAGGGAATAGCAAGTACTTTCCAAGTAGGCAGCCTGGGGCATAGCTCCTGTTTTATTGGCCCAGCTCAGCTGAGGTCTGGGTCCATCACTTTAAAATCATAATAACGAAGGGCCAGCAGGTGGCATAGTGGTTATGGTGTTGGACTCCCATATGGCTGACCTTGGTTCTAGTCCCAGACCCAGTGACTTGAAAATCACACCAGGTGTGTGTGCATGCATGCCCAAAATCCTGGGAGGTGAATGAAGGAGAGGGGATTGCAGCATGACCATCTCCCCTGGGGGGCGGGGTGGAGGGTGATTTCTCACTTTTACTCTTACTGTCTCTCTGTTTCTCTCTGGCAAGCACATATGCCCTGTGACTAAAACCTTTAAAATATACAAATATATATA